TTGTATATACAGAACATACTATATATAAACAGCATTTTAAATTGTTGCATTTTCTATCTTCTATTTTTAAAAAATATACCATGTCTTTTCTGTCTAAAAGAAATTCTTTTTTTCAAGAAAAATACCACACACACAATAAAAAGTTCAGTTCTAAAAATGCTGTCCTTTAGATCTTAAAAAGTCTCAGGAGCAGTGTAAGAGATGTTGTCAGAGGGAGAATATGAGCCTCATCTGTGAGCAGGGAGGGGCTCTGGTTCTGCTTGGGAGCTCTGGGGTTGTTCTGCAGGGGAGATGTCAAAGTCACGTAATTTCAAAGAACTCCTGAACAGAAACTGAGCCTGCAGGAGAAAACCTGACCAAACACAACTCCCTTGCAGCCTAGAAGTCCAGCACAAAAACCTATTTTTATTTCAACACAAAATTTTAAAGAAAAATTCTTTCAGTTATAGGTAAAGATGGACAAACTTTACCTTCCAACAATAGAACAAGAGCTAGGAAGAACTATTTCTAGGGTATGGAAAATTTATTTTCCATGTGAGGGTGGTTAATCATTTAGACTCTCACTGCTTACATATTTTCCACTTGCTGTGATTTTTACTCATTTACCTGGCTCTACTTGTCTTTCCCAAGTCCAGCATCTGAACAGGGAACGGTGAATGTGGCAAACTGTGTTTTCCAAAGACGGACACAATAATGCCTCCAGCCCACATGTTCTCCTACAATATGACCTTGCCTCTCCCCTGTCAGGAAATTGAGCTAATTCCCCTTCCCTGAATCTGAGCTGGATTTATGACTTGCCTGTAACTAACAGAATGTAGTGGATGTCTACATTCACTTGCATGTAACTAACAGAATGTACTGGTGTCTTCCAAGGCTGGGTCAGAAAAGGCCATGTAGATTTCACCAGTGTCCCAGTGCTTGGGACACCTACTCTGAGAGAAGCCAGCTATCATGTAAGAAATCTGACAACTCTGGGGCCACCATGCTGAAGAGTCCTTGTATAGGAGGTACTTTGGTGGTCAACCCCAGCTGAGGCCAGCCTCTGGGCCATCCCTACAAAAAACTCCAATCATGTCAGAGAAGCCATTGTGAGCCCTCCAGAGTAGCCATTTGTCAGATGAATAGCAATGAGTCACCTTGTAAAGAGCAGAAGAATCGCCCTGCTGATCCCTGACTAAATCCTCAAACTACAGAATCTGTAAGATACAATAAAATATTGCTGTTTTCAACCACTAAGTTTTGGGGTAGTTCATTGCACAGAAATGGTGACTGGAGCAGGTCAACTAGGAGCCACTAAGGGAGAAAAAAGTGACCAAAAGCCCACAGCTGA